ACAACTGTTTAGATATATGTTCTATTTTGTACTCAACTGTATCCATTTTTATGTACTTCATGGCAGTCAAGAAAAGGAATGATGGTTTCAAATATTACCCCCTTAGTTTCATGTTATTATTGCTTTTTAGTCATATTGTATCATACTGTCCCTGGCCCTATACAGTTTCACGTTATTAATGTTACAGACATACAATATCATGCAACTGTTTTGAAAGATACCTAGGTAAAGACAGATTCCCTATAATTATTTATATCAGGTAAAACAATCTGCTTTTAAGGTTATCTGAAAGAAATTTTATTATATGTAGATTACAGCAATTAGTTGACTCCAGCACAAAAACAGGATACTGGAATATATCACACCCAAATGTACCCCTACAATAAAGCTACTGTTGTTATTTAACCTCTCAATGCCCCAAGTAACTCTTTAAGATAATGGTTAATAATTGTTGTTGAGTCATTTTCAGTTGTATCTGACTTTACGACCCCTTTTGGGGTTTTCTTGGTAAAGATGCTATACTGGTTTGCCATTTCCTCCTCCAGCTCATTTTACAGATGAGGAAACTGAGGCAAATAGGGTAAAAGTGACCTGCCCAAGGTCACAGAGCTAGTGTCTGAGGCCATATTTGAACTCAGGTCTGCTGGACTCCAGGCACACTCAATTCTTCTTGCCACCCAGCTGCCCCAATAGCTAATAATAGCCAGCATTTATATAGGGCTTTAAAGGTAAATAAAATCCTTTACAAATGAATAAGGTAACAGGCACAGACGTTAACTGACTTGCCTTAGGTCACACAGCTAGTAAGTGTCTGAGGGAGGATTTCAACTCAGGTCTTTTGACTCCAAATCCTGTGCCCCCAAACTAATGATCTGCATTGGTTATAAGATTTTTTCTCACTGAATTCCCAACACAAGTAAAATCACAAGTGCAGACAAAACAACCTCATAAAGTGCTGGCACACTTAAAAGTTTAAAACTGTTCTTACCTAACAAGCTTCAGTAAAGTCTTCTCAAGAAGCTAAGTATTATGTAATATTATATCCATAGGGCAAATGAAAACTGGCTGAAGGAGATATTTCAGGGTCAGAAAGAAATGTTACTGATTCAAAGCCTTGGAGTAGTACCTCTGGCATAACATTTCCAATTGTTCAATTCCTGAATCCTTATTTGGAAAAATAAAGTACAGTAATATTACAAAAGACAAAGAAAGCTACATTTTAAATAAACCTAAGGATGAGAAATATAGATTTCACTCCTTTTCTTCTGACCCTATGCTAATTGAAAAAGTCCATACAATCCACAGAATATTTCTGTTCAGAGCCACTTAAGAGTCTGAATAAACAAAGTATAATGCAAAGAAAGGCAAGTGGTTAAAAAATATTTTTCTGGTCTGCTACTCTTATATAAGCTCTTCAGTGATCAGAAGTAACCCAACAAAATAATTGGAAAAATGGAAAGAAATTAAATGGAAATGCAGACTGTCTTAATAAAAGTATTTGTTTGTTTGTTTGGACCTGAGATTTCATCAATTCAAGGAACTCCTTCCATAAGACTATTCATTTGTAATTTACCACCTTATAGAGTTGGTAGGGGGTCAGAGTGATTAAGTGATTTGACAAGAAGATTGGGCAAATTTGAGTCAGAAGAAGAGCTTGGCTTCAATCAAGTCTTTCTGACTTCAAGGCCAGCCCTCTCCATTATGCTTACCGGCCTCCTATAGATTTTGTCATACTTTAGCCACAATCTATCTTTGCCAAACATACCCTATCAAATTTTTTTAAAATATGAATAATAAAAGCTAAAAAACAGAATGTAAACAAATTGAAGGAAGTAAACATGGAGAATGCTTCTTTACATGGAAATAACTGAAAAAATACATAACTACAATTCAGGCCTCTGAACACTTGATTGTCAACTTTGGCAACAAAATGCATTGCCTTAAATGTTTCAAGGTATCTTAGACTATCATATCTAGATATCACAGAGCTAGGAAATACCCCTTAAAATATATACACATATGTATATATACAGTATTTTATTCTGCGTGCTAAATTAATCAAGGCAATTAAAATACACAATAAAACTTCTACCATGTGGTGGGTTCATGCTTATAGCCTCTCCCAAGACTTGGGGATCTCAGAATATTCACTGGCTCCCTTGAGCCTAGGGATTCCAGGAACTTCTGTTCATCTTGCTTAGTCTGTACCTGCAGGGACCCTTCAGCTTCTCTAGTCTCTACATTTTCTAGATAAGAAATAGAGAAAAATAAAAGTGACTTGCCCAAGGTCTCAAGGATAGTGAGAGAGGTGGAATTTTAATCCAGGTCCTCTCATTCCAAATCCAGCACTCATTTCATTGCACCAGGCTCTATCAAATCCTGCATCTTAAAACTGACAAAAAGAAAATAATTTAAAATAGCAAACATTTGGTGCATAGTACAGGGTGGGACTTAAAATTATACATCTAAAATGATTCTTGTAGTTTTACTGGGTTTTGATAATGGATATTTGATAGTGTTCTAATTCTCTGTTAAATGTCAACTGTGGAAAGATGAACATTTGAATCTCTACCAAAGATGCCAGAGCAGGACTATTTCTTTCACATAAAAAAAGGAAAGCTTTCAAAAACCTTCAGTACAAAAAAATCAAATCCAGTTACTAAGGAAAAGTAAAAGAAAACAGACCAACAATGTTGCAAATGAAAACCCTAGATTTCAAAAGAAAGAAGTTTTTTGAAAATGGAAAAGAAAAATAAGACTAGAAATTTGTTAGCAACTGCTAATGCAATTTCGTAATTTAAATAAATTTTGCCTGAGAACCTAGATTAAATACACTTAATAGTTTCACAAGTAATCCCTATTTCAAAGGAACATTGTTGTAAACTAGGCTAGTAACTACCGAGTGGGAGTATAGAAGGTTCACAAGATCACAGGTGCTTAGTTCCTGTCTCTTCTCCAGATTCAACAATAAACCCACCATTTACTTCATTACCTTCTGAGATGTAAACCAGGCTGTTTTTTTAATATTGTTACAATAAACATATGTCTGAGTTAACAAACTGGATTTATGATTGAAAATTTAAGGTAATGACAAAGAAAGGAAGGAGAAAGAGAAAATAATAGTCCAAAACAGTAATCTTGAAAGCTGTGGGGGAGAGCCAGTAGGAGGAACCTTAGAGAACTAGTCTACCATCTTCAATTTACAGCTGAGGGAACTAAGGAAGGCCTGTCTAGGTTAAATGGTGCCTAAAATGTCTTTCAGCTAGTTAAAAAAAAAAAGGATTCACACCCAGGTACTCTGACTACTAATAAAAAAAAATCCCCATTTTACCATCCCTCACACTACTTCCAAAACAATAATCATAAATCTACCCCAAATCAAAATTAAAAACCTAGGGTAGATCTTGTAATTGAGCCTTACAGTTTTGCAAAACTCAAACACCACATAAAAATGTTGTAGTATTAAAGTGAAGGGTTATAAAACATGAACTGGCATTTTATTTCTAGAAGTCTCTAGAAGGTATTGATATATCTTTTTCTGCTTCAGCACGAAAATAACGTATCCTGTCCTGCTAGGAGTGTTTTAAGGCATTTTGATTCCCCATTCTCAGGGCTAACAACAAACATGATCGCTATGACATATTTCACCATTCCGGTTTTTTCTGTTTGTTAGAGATTGGCCCTAATAACAGTCTCTACAGTAACCCAAGTGGGATCTCAATTCCCATCACTCAAGCTAACAGCCTAGTTAATGATTCAACTTCAGCAGCATGGAATATTTTTCTAGAGGTCAAACTGAAGGGTTCTTTTAAATAAGTTTAATGGAACCAAACCTTTAGGGGCTAGAAGATGGGGGATAGAGAGGAAAGCTGCTGCCATTCTTTAGCTAATAAGCCAGTTGATTTTCCCCAGCATAAAACAAAATATTGTGCAGCATGTAAAAGGGGGAAATGTGTTGGAGTTGAGAGGGAATGGGGTGGGGGGAACAATGCTGGTGGGTAGCGTCTTGATGTGAAGGAGTCAAGGTGAAGAGAGGGAATGAGGGGCAATTGAGGGGAAAGGGTCAAGGTGAGGAGAGGCAAGCGACAATAGAGGAAGTGAGGAACGAAAGGGCGCAACGGGGGAGAGGAGGGAATGAGGGACAATGGGGGAGGAGGGAGAGGAGGAAAAGAAGAGCAATGGGGGAGAGAAAGAGGGGCAACGAGAGGAAAGAAAAAGATGGCAATGTGGTAATAAGGGAAGAGGACGGAAAGAGGGCAATGTGGCAATGGGGGCGAGGAGAGAAAGATGACAATTTGGCAATGGGGGGGAGGGAAAGACGGCAATGAGGGGAGAGAAGGGAAAGAAGAGGGGCAATGGGGGAGGAGCTTAAAAGCAAGCGTCTCCAGGACAGCACCCTCACGAAACGCTTCAGACTGAACCCAACCTACCCGGCGCCTTAAATGGTCCTCGGACTCGGGCGTTTCCCCGCTTTCCCTCATTAAAGTTAGGGCACTAGGCCCAGAAAGAGCCAAAGGAAAGAGAAAGGCCGAATTAGACGGAGCAGCCAGAGGGCTGGGGCCCATCGTGTTGACAAGAAGGAAGAGGAGGGATGGGGGGGTGAGGAGGGAGGATTTGCAAAAGTCAGTTCAGTTTCTCCTCTTCTGTTGACCCGGCTTTGGGGGTTCGGAAAGGAACACTGCAGTTTGGGGGGGCGGGGGGGGCAGACGAGTTAGAGAAGAGGAGAAATAATGCTGTAAGAAACCACACTCACCAACAAACTTAGAAGGGGGTTGTGGAGGGGGGATAGATAGATTAAAGCCCAGGTGCAGAGACAAGAAACACGCAAGGTAAAAGCCGAACAGCGAGTGCGTGGGCTGCAGAAGGAGAAAGGTCACGGGAGGAAGTGGCAGAGGCAGTCTAAAGGAGGAGACGCAGCCCGAGAGTGGGGCCACAGAGGATCCCCGATGGGAGAGAGAGAAAAAGAGGGAGGGGAACGTCCGTGCCCCAGGTCCACTTACCTTGTCCGGGAGCAGTGCCTGCTCACACCGGGCCGGGAGGGTGGGGGACGGTGGTGATCGGAGCCGCATCCACCCTCCTCCTCTTCCTCCGGGTCCCCGGGCGGGAGAGCCGGCTAGCCCTTGGCTCAGCCCCGGGCTGCTTCCCGGGGCCGTCTCCTGCGAGACCACCCAGCGGCGGACTCCATCCCAGCCGGGCTCCCCACGGCGCGTGGTCTGGGCCGGGCCGGGCCGGAACGAGGTGTGGGAGTCAGCGGCGGCCCAGGCTCCTCCTCGCTAGGGCGGGCAGCCGGCTCGGGCTCCGGCTCGGCGGCTGGCACGCCACGCACTTGTTGCCGCTGCGGCGGAGGCTGCTTGTGGAGCTCTGCTGCTGCCGCCGCTGCCGCCGCCGCCAGACCTTTGGCTCTCCCTCCAACCCTAGTTTACAATTTCCCCCACCGCGGAAGACCGCCTGCCTCTCGCAGTTCAGCCCTCCAGCCCAGGACACACCCCCAGACCCAGAGCAGCTGCGGTGAGAGTCCCCGGCTCTGCCAGGTCTGAAGGGGGAGGGGGCACTGGAGTCCTGCCCGCCCCATCCAAAGTCCGGCCCCCAAAGCCCGGGGAAGGCCAATCAGAAAGGAAGTAGGGGGCGAGGCCAGAAGAAGGTTTGAACCTACGAGACCCCGAACCCTCGAGGTTGAGCCTCTCACACCTAGAACCTTTGGGGAACCCCCTCCACCTACACACCATAACCACTCCCCTTAGAAAAGGTTTGGGAAGAGGGAGTGTCAAGGGAGAAACGAAAGTTATCCTCCCCACTACGGGTGTGGGAGTGGGGAGGAAGCAGGGGGTGTCACCCAGAGAAGAATTTAATTACGTCCTTAAAATAATGAGAAAAAGTTTCTAGACAGGGATAGTACGGTGGTTATATGGCCCCCAGGCAACCATTAACTTCTAAATCCTTTCTATCCTAAATACTGCTAGCTTCATTTTGCCCCACTTGAATTTACTGGGGGAGGGGGCGGAGATATACCTATTTTCCCCCTATCCAGCGCTTAGCACAGCTCATAGTAGGCGCTTAATAAATGTTAGTCGGTGGAGGGGATGCTGGGAATAGACTAGCTCAGGGTGGGAGAAGGGGGAGGGGAGGGGAGAGGACAAAGAGGTTGGAGAGCAGAAGCTAGTTCAGAAATAATGGCATGGAATGAAAAGCTTTCTTTCCAAAGGAGAAATGTTTCCTCCGTAATTTAAAGGCTATTACATTGTCCACCCGTTATCCCCTATCTTTTCTAGAATAAATAAGGCTTAATATCTTTGTTTAAACGTTTCGTTGAGGGTGCACTGTCCCACCAACACCACAGCAGAGCCCCACTCACCTTCAGCATGAGGGTAGAAGGTAGGGTCGTTCTCAATACAGATAACCCCCTTGACTGACGAAATTTAGTGTGATGTGAGTGGAAAGAACCCTACTTCTGTAGTCCAGGATGTTCTGCTTACTACCTGAGTGACTTTGGAAAAGTCGCTTTTTCTATTTCCATTTCCTTGTCAGTAAAAAATGGAGATTGAATGACCTCATAGGTCCCTTCCAGCCCTAAACCTAATATCCCAAAGTGTCAAAAATGAACTTTTTTTTTGCTGAGCGCTTTCGCTGTATTACCGTCGATTTACATATGGGGGCAGAACCAGAACACCAGAACTCTTTCCACGCCACCTCTGACTCCACCCTTCTCTCTGCGCTTTTCCCTTTTTCTGATCACGTGCTTTCAGCCATCTCCCCAGCCTACTCGCTCTAGTTATCTAGGGGTATGGGCAGTTGGTTGTTCTTTTCCTTAAACAGAGCTCCATGACCATGTAGTTAAATTATCATTGATATTTTATCAATATTCCAACTCTCTTTTGCTGTCTCTACGTATGTGGAGGGTCGGGGTGGGATGAAGTTTTTCAACATTCGCCTCACTTCTTTCATCACCCTGATTAAACTACTTTTCATTCTAGGTGACAAATATTCTCATTTTATTTCATTCTTCTAGTCTAGGGAGGAAAGCAGTTTAACTGCATTCACAGTAAGCCGCAGCCCTATACTGAGCTCAGAGTTCCCCACCCATTCTAAAACTCTAGGAATTTTTTATCTTTCCTGGTACTGTTTGCATTTCAAAAGTCAAATGGGAGGGACCACTTAACCCTGAGGGATGCATTGTTTGTGGTGGAATTTAAGGCATCAATTTAGGAAAGGGAGGAAAGGGGAAGACTGTCCCTCAGTTCATTTCACTGCCCTTCTCTGGATTCCTCAAGGATAGCTATTGGCCCCCACATCAGCACCTCCAATTTCTAAGCCCTCATCTCTACTCTGTCTCCTTACCAAAGGCTTTTACAATTAAAAAAAAAAGATCACAGGGGCTGCTTATTGTCTCCTGCATATATGAATGGAAATAAACAACACATTTCCTTCATGATTCCACTATATTCTGTTAATATTTAGGAAACAGACCACTCACTGGCATATGCATTTCTTGTCAGTGGAACTCAGGAATGTAAGGTCTCTTAGTTTTCTGATTCTTAGTCCTCTATCCTCTTGCCTTTTTTCCTCTGACGTGAAAGAAACGAAGGAAGGAAGGAAGGAAGGAAGGAAGGAAGGAAGGAAGGAAGGAAGGAAGGAAGGAAGGAAGGAAGGAAGGAAGGAAGGAAGGAAGGAAGGAAGGAAGGAAGGAAGGAAGGAAGGAAGGAAGGAGAAATAGGTTGGGCGGAAAGGAAGAGAGGTTAGGAAGGAAAAAAGAGAAAAAGAAACAAAGAAAGAGAAACACTGCACAAAAATTAAAATTCAGCAGTAACTCTCAGGGAAATCCAAATCCATTTCTTTCTAACTGTGCCAAAATAATTTTTGCTGACATCACTTTCCTTGATTCAAATCAAAACTTCCTATAAGTTGTTCTAACCTTTCCACTCATCCTATTTCTCTCACCTACCAGCATGATAGAACAGGAATAGCATTACAAGATTTTTCTGTCCTGACAAGTCCCAGATGAGTTTCTACTTCTCCAGTGTGATTTTTCATTTTGTTTGTTTGATTTTAATGTTACATGAGTCTATATCTGTATATGTTTTCCTCAGGTGCTTGTCTGGCAGTTATCTACATGCTTTACCATAAAGCTAGCCAAGGACTCCAACAGCATCAGCTGGCACTCAACTAGGGAATTAGAACCCACATCATTCATAGCTGCCAAAAGCTGTTCCACTTACACCTCGTATTCAGAAATAAGAGTATTCTCTCTACTGTACCTAAAATTAATACAACTGGGAGTATATTTTCAATTGTTAGACTATAACTCAATTCTTTTCATACCACTCTGAACTACACTGGGTGGAAAATCAACTCCTCCTGACTATATAACAATAGATACTGTGGTTCTGAGTAATCATAAGTGAAACCAGGGCAGAGATCTCCAACCAATTTACTAGAAGATTTCAAAGTTTCACCCCGAAGGTTTCTAATTTAGCTATATCTTACATCTCCTTCTCTGGGATTTGCTGGGATTCTCAAAAAAGAAGGAATCTCCTTCCTCTCCATTCATTGCCAGTACACCACTCAATCTCAGCTTTCAGAGACTTCACTGTCAGCCTCCCCTGCCCCAGCCATTCCCATTGCTAAATTCCAAGACTTTGGAATGAAAAAAATAACTCCTTTTCACCAAATTGTCAGGGATCCCTGTGTTCACAAATGACTTTAGCAAATAGCCAATCAACGTGTACTTTTGTGCCTACTTTGTTCTAGGTCTTAGGCAGGATGGAAGAGAATTATAAAATGATATTCTGAGCTTTGGAGAAATTTAAAATCCAGTTGGAAAAATAAGATGAATGGACATAAAATAATTAGGTAATATTAGAAGGCAGTATACAATTAAATGCTAAATTGTGGGGTGCAATCAGTTAAGTATTGTTGTAGTTAAGTGAAGAAAAAGATCAGTGTGTGATATACTATGTACTCTAGGAAGGCTTCATGGAAGAATGAACCGAAGTCATAATCACCCAATGTGAGACTTGAGTTTGAGTTCCCAGATAAAAACTGCTCATCAGTTCCATAGAAATGAGCTCATAGTCTGCCTCAATAGTCTGAATCTTGGACACCCCCTCACCCCCTTGCCTTTTTCCTGATGTATCCTTTACAAATGCTGAGGATCTATTTAAGACTAAAACTTGAACCAAGCCATTGATTTTTTTAAAAGTGTTAAATAGCACTGTTCTAAGCACAGATTCTTAGAACACTCCTTGTAAGTTGGCATTGACTGATTATTTTTTTTTTGGATTTACACTGTTCAAGTAGATCTGAATACACCAAATTTTATTATCAGGTAGACCACAACTCTGCATGTTTTCTATAAGATTAGCATGGGAGACTCTGACAATGCTTAGCTGAAATCTAGACATGACATTCGTGGATCCTATATGTGTACCTGGTGGGCATCCCAGGTGGTACCTGGGGCACTGTACTAATGTAAGCAGACCCCATAGGTTTATAACTTGCTTTCTAGATGCCTAGAGAGATGCAGACTCTGCCAGATGCGGGAGCATAATAAACTACAGTGGCTCTCTCTTGACTGAAGGATTAAATGTCAACTGTTTAGCTTCTAAAGGCCCTTTGCAAGGGGCAGCTAGGTGGTGCAGTGGATAGAGCACTGGCCCTAAAGTCAGGAGGACCTGAGTTCAAATCTTGCCTCAGATACTTGATATTTACTAGCTGTGTGACCCTGGGCAAGTCACTTAGCCCTGATTGTCTTGCAAAAAAAAAAAGGTAATGAAATGTTTAATTAAAAAAATTATAAATAATAAAGTCCTTTGCAGCCTGTCTTTCCAAATTCATTATAGATTCTTCCCCTTCTTGTATTCTGTTATCCAGCTACACTGGCCTTTCTGCTGTTTCTCACACAAACCCCTCCATCTCTGGTCATCATTCATTTGCCCCAACTGTTTCCAATGTCTAGAATGCACCCCCTCCTCACCTCTGCCTCATAAAATCCCTTCAAGACAGCCTGAAGCCCTGCTTTCTATATTTCCTTGATTTCCCCAACTCTAGTGCACCCCCTTCCTGACCACTTTGGATTTCATTAGCTTTTATTTACTTTATATTTGTTCGGTACATATTTATTCTGTATATACTTATATACATATATGTTGCCTCCACCAATAGAATGTAAACTCCTCAAGCAAGGGGATTGTTTAATTTTTATCTCTGTGTTCTCAGAGCCTACCACAGTGTTAGGTCACTGAGGTGCTTTGTAATACTGACACCCTGAGGTTTATTTGGAAGCAAAAAAATCATGCCTACAATAATTCTCCTGCACAATTACATTCAAGTAGAAGGTTCTCATAATTGCAGAATGGAGAACAGTACTGAGCCATTGATATGATTATGAGGAAATAAACCCATTAAAATGTATTTAATGACTCTGTTCTGCCTCATCCCTCCTGAAGATTTCTCTTGCTCTGGAAAGCATCTCAGTCATAAACACAATGGCCAAAAAGAAAAAGGAAAGTTGTTTGTTTGTTTGTTTGTTTGTTTTCCAAAGGAATAAGAAAAGATGGGCT